ATGTGAACTAATACCAAAAACTTACTATACCGAGCAAGTGGTAAAATGAGTGTGTATTCTAAAGAGCAGCAAGTGATCGACTATTTATCCCCGTATGGGCTTATAAAGCAGTGCCGATCCTCTGAGTACTCCAGCAAGTGATGCCTTAGGTGGCTACTGGATCTAGAAAGTAAATATATAAAACGACGGAGTGGGGTAAGGGTAATTCCGGCTGACATGTCATATCTTTCTCGTGTTATGGACAGGCTAGTTGCCAATTGATGGCAACTCCACATGCTATATTCACATCAATATAGCGGAAGAATGTTTTCTCTCCAGGATAGGTACTCTTAGTATAGTATGGGAACGACACCAGCTTCCATGGGTGGTCAGGACGAAAGAACACGTAAAAGGCATAGTAAGCGGGGTCTTGTCGAACCAGCTGCTGCACGATGCTGAACCACATATTCCTAGCCCACCCAATTCGAGGTTTGCCAGGGCGGGCACGGTAATGCCAGTCATACATACTGAACTCTTGTTTGATCAAAACAACCGTCCTATCCTCGACTTCTTCTTTGACTTTCAAGACACTCCAAAGCAGACCTTGGATGGCATACTGCGATCGCTTGCTTTCCAACTTTACCAAGGCCGGGTTGGCTCTGCAAGCCATCTTGATTCTTTATTTCGAGCACACCAGGATGGCAGCGACCAACCTGCGATAAAGGTGCTCTCGGATATTGTATTTAAGATGCTCGTATTCCAGAAGGTCTTTGTCGTTCTGGACGCATTGGATGAGATAGCTAAACTGGATTTATGGACCTTAAATGGCTTTGTATTTGATTATTTATGGCCATTAAAGAGAGGAAGTCCACTTTATTTGGGTTGACACAGGCTACTAATGATAAATTCTACCAGTCGCTAACCTAATCGTCACTGCCATCACCAAAGTCCTCGTCGCTGTCCTCGTCGCTGTCCTCGTCGCTGTCCTCGTCCTCATCAGATTCAGAATCAGAGCCGTCAGGCTCCTGGGCTGACCATTCATGAGAAGGGTCAAAGCACTCTGCCTTGAGCTCCGAACACTGGAAGCAAATTTCGAAGCCGTTACATACTTTACATCTGAGATAGGAAGTATCACTTGGTATGTACCGAGTGCACACAACACAAGGGCGTTCACGATGCTTATTTTTCAAATTGACAACCAAGCATTCTTCTCCTTCGCTTGCTTGAGGATCTTGGATGCCGATGTCTCGAGCAAATTCGCTCACGATATCAACCATCGTACTCTTTCCAGTTCCAATCGCCCACCAAAGTAAGTTTCGGCCAAGACCATCTTCAAACTCGCTTTTCTGTTTGCTTAGCGCGGTCAATTGTTTAACCACGTCTTCGTGGCCATTCCTCACCGCTGCACAAAGTGGCGTCGCTCCGTACCGGTCTTTAAAGTCCACAGATGAATGTGGAAGCAGAATTTCGACCACATCTTTGTGGCCGTCCCTGGCCGCACAGAAAAGAGGTGTACGATTGAAGTTGTCTGGAAGATCAATATCGTTGCAGAAATTTTCTGAGGTAGAAGTATCCTGATCTGAACCCTGGCGACGAGGAACATCTGCTAATCTCTTCATAAGCAGCTTCACGACCTTCAGGTGGCCACTTTGGGCAGCGGCATGCAACACAGAAAACCCATCATTATTCGCAGCATTAGGGATTTCCCCATTATTAAGAAGGAATTCAACGGTTTGGCGACTCCCGCCATCACAGGCAAAGTGTATTGTTGACCATCCGTCTTTGTCAGATGTCGTGACATCAGCACCTGTGTCCGTAAGCAGCCTCACAACCTCCAGATGGCCATTTGCGGCAGCAGCATGTAGTGCAGTGTAACCGTCTTCATCTGCAGCATCAAAGTTTGCCCCATTCTCGAGAAAAAATTCTACAGTCTGGAAATGACCGTTTTGGCAGGCATACTGCAGTGCTGTCCAATTATCAGTGCTAGACGCAGTGATCTCAGCTCCATGATTAATAAGCAATTTCACAATGTACAGATGGCCGTTATTGGCAGCCTCCATCAATGGAGTCATGCCATCGTTGGCTGGGTGATTTGGATTAGCCCCGGCTTCAAGAAGGAGCTCGACAGCATCGACTTTATTTTCAGAAGCGGCGCCCAGTAACGGTGTCGATCCATATCTGTTCATACTATCAACCTTTGCCCCGTGGCTAAGCAGTAGACGAACAACCTTCGGATCACCATTCACTGATGCATTATAGAGGGCCGCCTGACCC